AGACAGGAGAAAAACCACACACAAAAAGAAAAAAAGAATTTTTAATAAAGAAATGTGTTAATCATAGAGCTGGTTGGGACCATAACAATAGCAGGTGGTTTTGCATCAGCTTAGAGTAAGACTACTGAAGAGTATAAGCTTAGCTCAGCATTTGGGTTCCTAATTATTTTTTTAGTATAATCCAACAAAAGAAACAACTAGACTGACCTTTTTCGCGTCCTTTTCATAAACAGCATAAAAAACACCCAACAATCTCTCTCTTGTGAAACTCTTGATGTCTCCCATCATACCAAAGTCATAATAGATTAAAGCTTCGTCAGTGTCAATTGCAAGATTTCCCGGATGTGGATCAGCGTGGAAAAAACCAGTCCTCAGTATCTGCAATTAGGTAATGCCAGGAAAAATAGTACCAAACACAAAGGAAAATAGCAACTACCTAGCTGATTCGCATCTATACCGCTGGTTTTAGAATGATCACAAAATTAAGTAACTCACCTGAATTAAGTAGGCTTCAATGGCACGTGACGCAATTCGGGATCTGCTATAACCCCGTGCATCTATTAGATCCAACTGGTTGATCTTTATCCCTGCTCATTAAGGTAATGAAATCTTAAGCAGATAAATCGAATGAAAGTGTTTATTGAATAAAAAGGAGAAAGGACAGAGAGGAACCTGGGACATATTCAAGAGTCAAAACCTTCGTTGCTGTATAGTCCCAATATACCAACTATTTTGGAACAGAGAAAGGTAGCGTTAAGAAACAAGGTATAAGAAAGTGACTTATAGTAACAATCAGCAATAGAAGGAAGAAAAGAATATATTATTGTCTTGGAACTTGGAAGGAAACATACAGGAACTCGGACCCACTTTATATTGCGAAAGTCTCGGCGAAATCTATCAGCATTCTTCCCTTCATTTATATAATCGATTTCCTCATACAATATCCTGAAAATTTTCATGAAGACAAAGTTTAGAAGATATTAAGATAATCCCATCCTTTCTTTTTTAACATAACATTTGGGGATTCTTATTGAATCTCAATCAAATGGTGACTTGTTGGGCACTGAATTATCCAAAAAATAAGTAGAGGATATAAAATACTGAGTAAAGCAACTCTAACTGAGAATCAAGGTCTGTGGTTCTTGCAGGATAGCAGATATGCATTCTTTAAGTTGACTTCTGAACCTTTATCGGCCCTGAGGTCACATGGTCTTGCGCAATTTTTACCCTCAAACTTCTTTTCTAAAACTTCCTCTTGTTTTACATAATGTGAAGACCAATATCAACGCAAGGGGTTCGAGAACTATAAAATAGTACTTCCTTCAGCACCAATTAGATGACTTCATTGGCTAGAATGAAAAGAAAGGTTGAATTGTTTAACTTATGCAGCAGGAGATAAGGAAGTGCGTTTGAGTAATAAAGTAGCATTAAGGGGTGAAAATTGCTTGTTCTAGCTATTGCCACATAGTCTTAGCTTCTTGAGAGGATGGACTAGAATATTGTGGCTTACTTAGCACATTCTTCATATATTCCTATCCAGTCCCGAGTTGGACCGCCAAGAGTTTCACTTTTCTGAAAGTACTCCGCAATCAACTTTAAATTTTCTGCATCAAAAGAAGAATGTTGGACTTTCCAGTAAACACTAAGCAAGATTGACTAACTTTAGTGCATAATACTTACTCAGATCAATGTCAAATAGTTTCTTTAGACCGGGTCTCTGAACTTTTACAACAACTTTCTCTCCATTATGTAAGATAGCCCGATGCACCTAAGAGCATTATATGAACAAAAAAATCAGGAAGAATTACTTGCAGCGCATTGAAGACCAGTTGCACAAAGTCGTTTAGTGTCATCAAATTTGACGGAATGTATAATCTCAATTCAGAGATTAAAGAGGACATTTCACTTCTAAGATACAAAAGAAAAATATAAATAAACCAAACACCTGACCAAGACTAGCTGCTGCAATGGGTTGATCTTCAAACTCTTTATACAAAAGATCAACTGGAACTCCCAGCTCCTTTTTAATAAACTCTTTTGATTTCTTGGGGGAGAAGGCAGGTACTCTGTCCTGAATGATTACAATGCAATATAAAATCAAAGTCATGCTCGGATAATTCATTTTCAAGTGTGAACTAATACACAATTTTGCAAGTAATTGAGGAGAGCAGGTTCACTTTCTCAGAGAGAAGCCAAGTTATACCTGCAATTTAGCAAGCTCATCGACAAATTCTCTAGGAAATAGATCAGATCTAGTAGAGGATAACTGCCCAAGTTTGATAAAAGTAGGACCAAGCTGAAGCACACATTCTCTTAACCATGACGCAGTTCCACGTCTTCTGATTTTCTGCAGGTATAAAGCTTGTTACTCATAATGCTCGTAAAATAACATAATCCGAGGAGACGAGGAAGCAACAAGAGAGAATCATTGCATGATTTTTGCTCCGGACTTGGTACCGTGTTACCCTCAAATATCAATTCAAATTGAATAAAGAGAGAAGAGAAAAACTAACCTGTTTATCTTCAGTGAAGCCTCCCACATATGTCCATTTTGCATTGTCCAAGAATACGCGAACCCGTAATGAAAGGACAAAGGACCACACATCTACACTTCTTTGGACTGAGTTGTAGTTCTCATTAGCCCAGCTGAAACCTTCATCTGAAGGTAAAACCTTTAGATCTTCGACGGGCGGAAGTTCTTTAGATTTTTGTTTCTTCATAGGGGCAGGAGCAGCAGCTCGCTTAACTATACTTGCGCCATTAATTCTTTGTGTGGATCCATTGACTATCTCAGCACCATTTACAGATGACACTTTTCTCTTTGTAACTTCACTTGTAGGTACCATCTTAACTGGACGACCATTTATACCAACTTTTTCAGGGGACTCCGTCTGTTGCATTTGCACTTTAAGCCGGTGAATCTTTCTAGGTGGTTTACCAGATTGTTTATCATATTTCGACAAAAATAGTATAGAGATTGAGCCTGAAAAACTGAGATTGTTTACATTACTTCCATGATTTATCAGTTCTCCTCTGCGGCAATAACAGCTTTGAGAAGCCAACATTGCCGCCATTTATGATATGAAACCTGAACATGAGCCAATTAAGAGATCCAAAAAGTTGATTAGAGCCAGCAATGAACAAATCAACTACGTGGTAGCTCATAAAACATTTAACATCTACGACTACGAGCAATTTGAATGAAAAATATAGTATTGCCCAACTATATCACTGATAAATTTGGTCATCTATAACCAACATCAAATTCTTTACCCAATCACTAGCCTCCTTCGAAATAATAATAATAATTGTTTCCCATTAGTGCCTACTTCTACGGCTCGAACACGTGGCCTATAAGTAACATGGAGACAGCTTTAGCGTTAATTTATGAATCGCGTGCATCCATTCCGCTCTATGCAGGACCATATACTTAGTCTTTTAAGGCAAGTAGATTCGATCCGTCAATCTCAGAGGTATCCTAACAACAGTTTGGTCAGTTGTATGTAATAAAAAACAAGCAGACAATAACCTGACTATATGAACGTATTCATTAATAATTGAGAATCAATGAAATCAATAAACATATTATCTAAGAAAAAAGAGAATAATAGATTCCATTAGCAACAAAAGCAGGAAAAAATTCAATCTTAGGCTCACACTCTTAAAGTTTCTCATACAAATCCCATTATAGCAATTGTCAAAAAAGTCAAACTTTCCCCACCCCACTTATCAAATATACATTAGAATTTAAAATACTAAGAGGGTAGAAGCACTTACAATGAACTGAAGAAGAAGAACAAGAATCAGAAGCCTTTTTATATTATCAATCAATCTTTTATTAGAATTCTTGTGGACCCTTTTAAAAGAACTGAGTTTGGTTTCAGTTTCTACTGCCAGTTTTTTGGGTCACTTGTTTTGGTCTGTTTGCTCTTCTAATGCTCAAAAGAAAGCTGAAAAAAGAGCAAACACTTAACGTGCACTCTTGGCACCTCCTTTTTGATATTTTTGTTTCTTTTCAATTTATATCATAAAGTTTACATTTTTCTTCTTTCTTGAGGTTTTTTTCTACCAATTTGAGTGAAGAAACTAACTAACAGACAAAGAACAGAAAATGAGATATATTGAAATGAATAGGCACCACCATTTTCATTGGTGGGACTTATTGTAATTGCGTTGTCCACCTAATTTCCTCTTATTTCTTTTGGTTTACTGTTACTGGTCTCTATTGCTCTGACGTGTTCATTTTATTCTCCTTACAACTCATACTCTCACTGTTTTCACATATAAAAATAAAAATCAACAAAGGGACGGACGGGAAGGAACGTAAAAAGGTTTTAACACACGTTAGTATAAGAAATCTTTACGTAAGTTATTAGCAAATTATATGTCTTATTTTTAAGATTTTTAAAAAGGCTTGCCTGTAAATACATATCTTATTTTCTTACACTATAGTGTCTTATTTCATTAATGCGACTACTAAGAAAAAAGGTTAGAAGTACCAATTATATTCTACAATATTAAGGGAACATGTGGTACGCAGTGGCGGAGCCAGAATTTACACAAAGAGGTGTCAAGATCTAAAGAAGAAATTAAAAAAAATGATTCTACTAGTGAAACAACAAGAACAACAATATTTTTTTTCTTTTCAGACCAAATTTTTCTCATATGGTGAATCAAGCAGAAAGCTAGATAGACACTAAACAAACAAGCTGACAATTTGTGAACTGCCCAAAACATTGGGAATAAACACATACTAACGAGCTTGAGAAAGCAGACAAGGGTAGGTTCAAAGGAAGACACCATTTTTTATTCATCTGAGCTACATATAGCTATAAGAAGCAGTATAGGGGAAAAGAGGAACAAATCAAGAAGATTCAGCACATCAGATAATACACACCCAACAAACTATTACAAGCAAAAGCTGTGACGAAAAGCATGTAACTCTACCTTAGAAGCAAAACCAAAGTTACCACAGCCTAAAGCAAAATAATATTATATTATTACAATGGTACTCGACGAGGTTTCATTTCTCGAAATGTTTTTATAATATCATCATTAGATATAGTATTAAATACATCTTTTTCTACATAAGGCACCAAACAACCACTCAAAAGTTCATCATTCATTCGATTCCGCATGTCATTCTTGATAAACATCATTGCCGAAAAAGCTCTTTCAATCGATGCAGTGGCAACTGGCAAAAGCAAAGTAAATTTCACCAAGCAGAATACAAGAGGGAAGTTTAAATTCTTCTTTGTCTGAACCAATTTTCTTAAAAGATCACAAAGTCCATTCAAATTGGAGAACCTTTCATCAATATCACATACATCAATAATGTATGTCACAAGTTGATTCTCAAGATCACCCATACTAACTTCATCAAAGACATCAGGATATAATTTTGCCATTTTCATGATCTTCTTGATGTCAAAACTAGAAAATGAGTCAATTGGATTCAAACAAGCAACTCCATGAAGCAAATTAGTAGTCAATTCGTCAAAACGACCATTGAGTTCTTGAATTTGCCAATCAATAATCTTACAAAACACATCAACATGATAATGATGCAAAGTAGTATGATCGATAGATTTACGTCGTGATCTTAAAGAGTTAACGTATGGCTCATCAAAATTAGGTATCAAAATGCCATACTTGATACTAAATGTAGATACTTTTTCAATAAGTGAATCCCATTCATCTTCTCTTAAACTTTGCAACCTTCTCTTTGCTACTTCTACAAGTAGCATGGTATTTGCGATATCTTGCTCCTTTTTTTGTAAGCATTTATTTAGCTCATTTGTGATTGCTAAAACATCTATCATCAAATGCAACATGAATGAAACCTCAAATGTTTGACAAGTTTTGAGATATCCTATTGCCTTGGCTATGTCATCCATCAAACGTGCATCAACAACAAGTACTTCAAGAACATCAAAAATAGAGCCAAACATAAGAATAAAATTTTTAAAAGATTTGTAATGAGATCCCCAACGAGTATCATAAGCTCTTGAAAGACCAAGTTCTTGATTCAAGCCTCTACCAGTTTTAAGCTCACCCATATCTAATGCCTCTTCAATTCTTTCCTTTTGAGATTCTCGAAATTCATCCATACGCTTAAAAGAAGATCCCAACACATTCAAAATATTTGAGACCAAAACTACAAGTTCTCCTACTTGAATATATTTTTTTGAAACCGCAACAAGAGTTAATTGAAGTTGGTGAGCAAAACAATGAATAGAGTGAGCCGATCTACTTTCTTGCCTAATCAACATTTTAAGGCCATTGAGCTTACCTTGCATATTACTTGCTCCATCGTAACATTGCCCATGAACATATGATAGACTTAAGGAATGTTTATCAAGTAAATCAACAATTGCCTTCTTTGAATCATTGGAGAAGTCATCTGATCATTTTGAGGAGCATATTCCAATACATAATCATGAATTTTATTACATTCTTTTGCATACCATGAGAGAATTTCAAAAAAATTACCCCTGTTAAATGATGTTTTAGATTCATCATGACCCCGAAATGCAAATCCTTGCTTCAAAAGAAGTCTTACGACATTAACCGAAGCAGTTAAGCGAATCAAGTAATCATGCTTAACTTGATCAGATTGCTTCTCAAATGCATATATATGTGATGACCCAAAAGATCATCTTATATTTTAGAACTCGAATATGCGCTCTTAAGCCTTAAAAATCTCATTTTTACCCTTCTCGATTTACGTGCACAGTCCGGACAGTTTTTCGGAAAGCTTTTATGTTGAAAACTAATGAAAATAAGAAGTTTTACCTTAAAAATTGATTTTAGTTGACTTCGGTCAATATTTTTGGTAATCAGGCCCGAATCTGTATTTTGATGGTCCGGTAAGTCCGTATCGAATTATAGGACCTGGGCGTATGTCCGAAATCGAATTCGGAGGTCCCTAGCTCAAGTTATGAATTTTTGATAAAAATTAAAAGTCTGAAAATTAATTATTTTTAAGAATTGATTGATGCTTGGCATTATTGGTATCATGTTCGTATTTTGGTTCCGGAGCTCGGTACAGTTTCATTATGATATTTAAGATTTGTCAGTGAAATTTGATGAGAAACGGAGTTGATTTGACGTGATTCGGACGTCTAGTTGAGAAGATATGAATTTTAAAGTGTTTTTGAGAATTTCATTTGATTTGGTGCTAAATTCGTAATTTTAGGTGTTATTTTGACAATTTGATCACGCGAGCAAGTTCATATGATATTTTTAGACTTGTATGCATGTTTGGTTTGGAGCCCCGAGGGCTCGGGTGAGTTTCGGGTAGGCTACAGAGTGATTTTGGAACTTAGAAATTTGCTAGTGTAACTGGTGTCTGTAGCAGGCCTCTGATCTCGCAATTGCGAGATCAAGCTTCACAAATGCGAACCAAGCAGGTATGACAATTGCGAGGTTTTTATCGCAATTGCGAAGAAAGCCTAGGCTAGCAGTTCTCGCAATTGCGAAGGGGGTCTGGGGAAGGGCATGTTCGCAAATGTGAACTTCTACCCGCAATTGCGATGGGCAAATTGTCGCAAATGCGACATACTCTTCGCATTTGCAAAGGCAGCGAAAATGTGAAGGTTCTCGCATTTGCGATGACTCCCTCGCATTTGCGAGCTTCGCAATTGCGAAGCTCGGGTCGCAAATGCAACATCCGCATCTGATAACTTTAGACTTAGACGGAATTTTTCATTCATTCTTCATATTTTCAAAACCCTAAACCTTAAGAGGCGATTTGCCAAAGATAAAATCTTCCCCAAATCATAGGTAAGTGATTCCTAACTCTTTTCTTTCAATCTTTTACATCTTATAACAAGATTTCAACCTAGAATCTAGAATTTATTTGTGGTGAAATTAGGATTTTTGGGTAGAACTTAGGAATTTCAAAATTTGAGGATTTAGACCTCAATTTGAAGTCGGATTCCAAAACTAATTACATATTCGGACTCGGAGGTGAATGAGTAAAAGGATTTTGGTCCGAACCTCGGGTTTTGACCAAGCGGGCCCGGGGTCCTTTTTTTAACTTTTGGAGGAAAATTTGGGGAATTTAATTTATGCAATATAATTGATTTCTTAAGCAATATTTGATATTATTGAGTCATTTTTGAATAGATAAGAGTGGTTTGGAGGTGAATTCCAAAGGGAAAGCTATGATTCAGAATTAAGTGGCCTTCAGAGTGAGGTAAATGTTGTGTCTAACTTTGGCTTGAGGGAATAGGTATTGTGTGAGTATTTGCTACGTGTTTTGTTGTTGAATACGATGTATAGTTGAGGTGACGAGCATCTATACGTTGTGGTCGAGTCATAACATGCGAGTGAAATTCCATTTCTTGCAAATTGGTAGTCTTAAATCTTGTTATCCATGCTTATTGTTGTTGTTGAAATGCTGAGAGACTTGTATCCGGTTCCACCAAGGTCGATAAAATTGTGAATATTGATTCGAGGTTGAGATGTTAAATTGTGAAAGTAATCATTGATGAAATATTAATTTCTTGCGAAACTTCTCTCTAACCATTGTTATTGATTCTGTGAATTGTGAGGAAGAGTGTAAAATATGAAGAGTGATGCCGTGCATGATTTATTTATATTGCGAGAAAGAGTGTAAA